AGAACAGCTTCTTCCCTGCCGTTATTAGACTGATGAATGGACTTCTCTAATTTCAAATCTAATGTTGATCTTGCTTTTGTGCACCTCCTGTGCAACCGCAACACTGTATGCCTCACTCTGTCTAAACACCCTATGACCTGCATGTCCTTGTATGTTATGATCTGCTTGCATTGCTCGCAAAACAAAACTTTTCACTGCACTCAAGTACATGCGATAACAATAAATCAAATAAAAAGTCAGGACTGTAATGGAATACTCTCCAGTTTCATGGATGAGTGCAGCTCTAACACAAGAATCAATCTTCAACTTCTTTCATTAATCATCATTGATTTAGCTTTCCCTTTGGGCATCTGTTGTAGAACATGGAGGACATCTTTAAATATGATATTGTCTGTCTACCATATTTTTCTGCATTTTCTCAAACGACAAATCTTCAAAGAGCGATCCACCATGTTGAAACCTGCTGCTCGATTCAAGCTACAAGGTCTTTGAATGGCCTATAATCGATAACAAGCCTACCCTTTGATCAATCACTAATTGCTCCTGGTAAAATTGCAGTAAACGTTTCCCATTTAGTGCAAAGTTCTGTCCATTATTTGAATCTCACAACAGAGTTCAGAACTCCACAGGGCAAAACCTGCCCAGTAGGTCTAAATTCCACAGTTCTCTTCATGATATTGGAATCATGGGATAAGGCTGAACAGTAGAGTGTAATATCAAGAAACATAGCATTTGATGAATTCCACATTACTGGAGGAAGACCGAATACCAATATGGTCTTGACTGGTGAGGTAGTATACTTGGTTTAACTAGCAGAGTGTTGCAAAATGAAACTATAATGACATTATGCTAGTATTTGTCGAGATGGGACACTCCTCTGTGACAAATAATGAAGGCATTTTTAAAAGATGGAGAAATAGGTTTTTTTTGCTTTTATTAATAACGAGAGATAATTACACCTTCTGTTGAACATCCTGAGGCTGTAGTAACTAAGTTATACACAAACAGCATCAGCCAAAGGGAAGTGGAAGGTGGTAATAAGTAGGTGGTTTCCTTGATCAAGCCTGACATGATATGATGAAACTTAATAGGGTCTGCAACAAAAGGTAAGACTTCTAGGGCAATTCCCTCATTATTGTATACTACTAGGTTGCCAGGTCTGGTGGATCTGTCCTTCCATTGAAACAGTTTATACCAAAGGGGTGGTGATGATGGTACCTGAGACTTTGCCTGTAAGCTACAATTCCATGAGTATGGCTATGTCAGGCTGTTGCTTGACCAGTCTGTGGGACAGCTCTCTCAATTTTGGCACAAGCACCCATATTAGCAAGGAGGACTTTAAAGTGCTTTAAAGCAAGTAACAATAATTAATGGTAAATGCATATGATCAATTTTAAAGTTTCTGCCACATTACATGTTTAATCAATTGCCTGCAGACCAATATGTTCGAAGATACAACTGAGAATCAATAAACATTGATGGCCAAAGTGAGAACTTCAGAACATTATTACTACAATTAGGACATCTCTATTACAAGCAGAACAAAACAGAACATAGAACAGCACAGGAACAGGTCCTTCAGCCCACTATGACCATGATGCTGTTCTAAATTAATTCCAGCTGCCTGCATATGGTCCATATCGCTCTAATCCCTGTTCACGTGTCTGTCTAGATGCCTCTTAAATGTTGCTATCATACCTGCTTTTACCACCTCCCCTGGCAGTGCATTTCAGGCAGCCACTCTGTGTAAAAGAAAACTTTCTTCACACGTATCCTTTAAACTTCTCCCCTCTCACCTTAAATCTATGCTCCTTAGTATATGACATTTCCACCTTGGGAAGAAGACTCCAACTATCCAACCTATCCATGCCTCTCATGTTGTATACTTTAAAAAATGTATTTGCAAATTGTTAAACGTGTTAGAAAACTGTAGCAGTCCACTGGCTCGAATAGTAGCTTTCTTGACTGAGCCAGAAGCTGATAGGTAAGAGTCCCATTCCATTGACTTCAGCACTAAATTTAGTTTGGCATTCCAGTGCAGTACTCAGGAAAGTATTATTGTTAAACGTGCAATCTTTTAAATAAAATGCTAAATTAAGACCTTGTCTGACCACCCACGTGGACGTAGAAGAGTCCATGGCTACATTCAAAGAAAAGCCAGACAATTCTAATTGGTGTTCTGGACAATATTTACCTTTAAATATTACTGAAATAGTTATGATCATTGCTGTTTATGGAAGCTTGCTGCCATATTTCCTACATTAAAGCTATTATCACACAGCCCGATATTTTGAAAAGTACTGTACTAATGAAAGTATTTTAGCCCTTTTATATTTTAAAAAAATGACTTAACTGCTAAGCAGCTCAAGGAAAGAATCGGCCTTCTGTCGCCAGAGTGTAATCATTGCATTTATTGTCCAATGTCAACTTAGATATACCAATTGGTTATTCAACAATTTTCAAGTGATATTGCTTTAAATCCCATTTAAAAAAGTGTTGTTCTTTGCTGTTCTTAGGATAACTGCTCTTATCTGTTTCCAGCTCCACCATATCCTTGCTACCAGAACTATGATCAAAAGCAGCCCTTATGTTTTAAGGACCCTGTCCAGTTCTTAAGTCAAAAATCCCCAAACTGTATCTGGCCAGCAGACTATGCGGAGTATGCTGCTATACATGGTTAGCCATTCCTGCTTCTAGATCTTTCAACTTTTGACTTGACAGCAACATGGGATCAGAAGCCGAGTGTCTTAGGAGCGGGGCTATGGGTTCAGGGAGGTGTAGTAAAAATATCTCAAGCAGCTAAAACCAGAAATAGAAATGGAAATGTGAGGCGTGAGACAGTGACTACACACGTCACTTGTGTTGATCTCGCAGCATTAACAGTGGGACTGAAACAATGGAACATCATTAACCAAATCTCATCCAGAGTTCAAAAAGCACAGACCCAGTGTTGCAGTTCCCCTTTTCACTTCCTACACACCAAAAAGTGAGCTGCATGGATTCTTTTGGTATTCAGCATCTGACAGAAATTGGTGAAGAAAATAGTTTATGTTGACTGGATGAGCTGCATAACAGCCTGATCAAAGAAAGGAATCATGCCAAATATTTTGGGTATACTTGCATGTGTCTCTATGCAACTCAATGCAGGTCTGAGTCAGATGTTTGATATGCATAATTCACCATAACAACAGTGTCGGTGTTTGAAAATGCCATAAGATGTGCTCTAATAGAACGGCTGCCATTAAAGAATACGTTTGAATGCACTTTCAAATCAGATTCATAAATTGTACAAAACTTGGAAGTTCCACCATTTGTTTACAAATGTTCATAAATGGAGCATAAATTTGATTGTTCAATGAAGGGTGCATTATCTAAATTGTTTTATTCAAAATGGCTATCAGAAGCAACTGCAAAGCAGCTAACCATTAACACAAAACACATTCACTACAAGTGCCATATACATACAATTTACTGCAAAGAAGGTTATTTAGTCAAATCATGGAACTAAATATACGGATGTATGCCCTATTCACTCCTGGATACCTTCAGATAGATTTTAATGATCAAAAGCATAAAAGAAAGCATACTGATAGAGGAAGTATGAAATATACATAGTAAAAATCCAGAAAAAGAAACATGAAAACATTTGAAATTGAACTGTACATAACCTCTGGCTCCATCAATTTAAAGAGGGCAGCAATCAAACACTTGTTTATTTAGGCTCAACAGAAGACATAATGGTGCAATTCTATTTTGGAGTTGGGAAATAGGTCTCAATTTGAATGAGCTGATCCAGTTTGGGACAAGCACAATTCTGCCAAAATGTATTACGTGTTTCCCATTACAGGGACAGGACACGCAGAACTGCAGGGGGAGGTGGCCCACCCAGATTTTAAATCAATTTACCAAAGTAAAAATATAACTTAGAACTTAAAATCAAATCAGAGAAATTATCCCCCAAAATTTTACATTTCCTCAGCCAATAATAGTTAAGAGATATTTCCTTTGGCCCGTTTTCTGCCATTAGAAATACAGCAGAATAAGAATGCCAAAATTACCCAGCCTCTGTCACGACCTTGTTGGCAAATGTAGGACCAACTTCTATAACTGTCCCTTGCCAAGATTTCAAACCACCAAGAATATGTCCAATCCAAGCCGGTAAACCTCTTTCAGCCACATTTTTCAAAACAGCATGAAGGCCAACAAGCTTCAAATTATTTAAAATTACTTTATCGTAAGATATTCTATTTGTGCATACAAATAGACTTAGAATTAGAATTTTGTATATTCTCAACTGATCAAAGTTTTTGCTTTCTTGCAAGTGCTTGTGGATACATAAATGTAGCTAGTAATAATAAATAATAATAATAAAATGCTTAAGGTTTTTGATCACCAGATACTTTAACACTGTGTCAAGAATACAATTTAGCTGACACTGCGGTTTATCTTTGCTGATATGCAGGAGTTAGGTTGCAATATGTGTAATTGATGTCTGTTGACTAATCTTCACTGACATGTTGGGACACAAGATAGCCAAACACAAAGCAGTGTTTGCATGTGTTATTTTGGAGGAACTCTCTCATTTCGGGGGGTGTCATTCACAACAATAGCTGTTATGCTACAGTGAATCATCCAGAACAGCATGTGACAGAAGTGACCTACAAAGATTTTGAGCTTTTCTTAACAATTTGATGGGAGAATTAAAATTGAACAGATCAATTAAATTTATGTTTCTACCCAAGAAGCAACAAGTTAATTGTCTTTATTTTTGACCTAACAAAAAGATCATATTGCAATGACGTTCATTTGTTAATTCAAATTATCTAATATTCCAGTACACGTACTAGCTCAGATAATAAATTAAACAAACAGTAAACCATTTAATATGACCAGTTTCCCATAGACCATTTTGAAACATGCAAAGTAAGTTTACATCTTGGGTTTAAACATTATTCATGGCTAGTCAAAAGTTGAAAATGTATTTAAAATTAGCTTCTTACCTGGAGAAAATGCTCGGTGAAATTGGCACATGTCTTCACCAATCAATTCCTGGGAAATTTGCTGGATCTTTGATCTAACATCACCAAATCTGGCCTCAGATTCATTCAGTAATTCTTCAATGTCATCAACACTAAACAGAAGTGATTATTAGGTGCAATATTTAACTGTCACTTGTAAACACTCAGTTCATCTATAGAAATTCTACTTGAATTTTTTAAAACATCAAATCTGATATTTCACCTTTCCAAATTAATTGACTTTTATTAATTTCCATCCATTGGGATGTGGGAAATTCAGCTTTTATTATGCGACAAAAGGAAGGGGATATTTACTTCTCCTTAAGCCTTTTACTCAGCAATGAATACATGTCTCAATGCAAAACAATGAGTGGGTTGGAGTGTGAATAGTTGGCTAGTCCTTTCAAAGATTCAGAACATCGACTTGAATGGCACTCCTCGCTGCTGAATGATTCTATAATCAACTCCAATGGTTAGAGTTTATTATTCTTGGAATGTAGGAACAGGCAAGCATTGATCAGCAGTGGCATTATTGGAGGCGCATGAACACCTGCACTCGTTCTTAAAAAAATCTTCTGAAGTTTCCCTTTATGACCTGCTGCTTCGGCTGGTACATAGAACCTGAAAATTAGCAAATTGAAAACAAAGCCTGAATTGCACATAGAGCAATCAGTTCAACATGGAAAAGAAACACGCCTGCACTCCAAAAAGAAAGCCCCAATTTTAGTAGCATCCCAGTTCATGAGACTGGTGCACTGCCAAATTCATATTCATTCGGCCCACAATAAGTCTGTAAAACAAGGTCCAAATGACATTGGAATTTCTTTTGAAACAAAAATGGATATTAAATCTCTATTTCAGCCATTAACATAAGCAAATACTATGCCCTGAAATCTTCACTTTAACCACATGATTACTGCATTTGTGATGAGCAGTAGCTACAGTTTCTTTAGTGATATCAAGAAAACAAAGTAAATAAAGCAAGTATTCAATATCAAGAATTTATTTCCTGTTCTCAATCTAAAAATGTAAATTCAGTTTAAAAATCTCTTAACCATTGTTGAGATTCAACAGTCAACTACTAGGCTTTCAAACAATTAAAACTACAGTATGAACTTAAAATTTATGCTTACTAACATTCATACAAATCACCAAACTCATCGATAGTACACTAAATTCTTTAAGGCAGGAACATATGGAGCAAGAGGTGCAGAATGCCTGATAGTACAAGAAGGGGCATCAGATGAGGTGAAAAGAGGATTTTTGTCAGGAAACCCAACAGACAAGGGTAATTGAAGTCCCATTCTTCTAGGCTACAAGCTTGTAAGACTCTGTGTGGAGGATCAATAAAGGTGAGGATTTTTTCTTTTTTTTTCCCCTTTTCTCTAACTCTTTTGGCAATTTAGAGCAGAGGGGATGGAAGCGAGGGCAGATGCATGCTCCTCTTGTAGGATGTGGGCGGTAAGGGTCACCACTAGTGTCCCTGCTGACTTCACCTGCGAGAAATGCACCCAACTCCAGCTCCTCGCACACCGTGTTAGGGAACTGAAGCTGCAGCTGATGAACTCCGGATCATTCCACGGAGTGAATGGACAGCGATAGTGATAGGAGATTCAATGGTTAGGGGAACAGACAGGAGTTTCTGTGGTCGTGAACAAGACTCCCAGATGGTATGTTGCCTCCCGGGGTGCCAGGCTCAGGGATGTCTCCGATGAAGTCTACAGGATTCTTAAGAGGGAGGGTGAGGAGCCAGAAGTTGTAGTACACATCGGTACTAATGACATAATTAGGAAAAGGGATGAGGACCTGAAAAGTGAATATAGGGAGATAGTTTGGAAGCTAAAAGGCAGGACGAGCAGAGTAGTAATCTCAGGATTACTACTGGTGCCACAGGCCAGTGAGGCTAGGAATAGAGAGCGAGTGCAGCTGAACAAGTGGCTACAGAGCTGGTGTAGGAGGGAGGGCTTCAGATATGATCATAGAATCATAGAATCCCTACAGTGTAGAAACAGGCCCTTCGGCCCAACAAGTCCACACTGACTCTTGGAGCATCCCACCCAGACCCGTCTCCTATAACCCACCTAAGCTATGCATCCCTGAACATTACCGGCAATTTAGCATGGCCAATCCACCTAATCTGCACATTTTTGGACTGTGGGAGGAAACCAGAGTACCTGAAGGAAACCTACGCAGACACGGGGAGAATGTGCAAACTCCACACAGAGGAACTGCCAAATTCCCAAGGATGGAATTGAATCCCTGGCTCTGTGAGGTAGCAGTGCTAACCACTAAGCCACCGTGCCAATATGTGGATCGTTGGGATACCTAAAGGGGAAGGTGGGACCTGTACAAGAAGGGTTGTTCCTGAACTAGAGGGGCACCAATATCCTTGGCAGGAGGTTTGCTCGGGCTTTTCGGGAGGGTTTCAACTAGTTTGGCAAGGGGATAGGAAACAGCTATGGATCAGAGGATGGGGTAGCCGGTGTACAGGCAGATACAGCATGCTGAGAGTCTGTGAGGAAGGATAGACAGTTGATAGGGCAAAGTTGCAGTCAGTGTGACAGGTTGAAGTGTGTCTATTTTAACGCAAGAGGTGTCAGGAATAAGGGTGATGAACTTAAGAGCATGGATCAGCACTTGGAGATACGATGTTGTGGCCATTATGGAGACTTGGATATCACAGGGGCAGGAATGGTTGTTGGATGTTCCAGGGTTTCGATGTTTCAAAAGAAATAGGGAGGGAGGTAAAAGAGGTGGGGTGAGTGGCATTGTTAATCAGGGATAGTATCACAACTGCAGAAAGGGGAGGTCGTTGAAGAGGGTTTGACTACTGAGTCAGTATGGGTGGAAGTCAGAAACAGTCACTTTATTGGGAGTTTTCTATAGACCCCCCCCAATAGCGACCGAGACACTGAGGAACAGTTTGGGAGGCAGATTTTGGAAAGGTGCAGAAATAATAAGGTTGTTGTCATGGGTGATTTCAACTTCCCTAATATCGACTGGAACTTCCTATGTGCAAATAGTTTGGATGCAGCAGATTTTGTCAGGTGTGTTCTCAGGGAAATGCATGACAGAAATGTGGAGATTGTTTAGGGAGAACTTGCTTTGAGTGCTGGATAGGTTTGTCCCACTGAGGCAAAGAAGGAATGGTGAGGTGAAGGAACCTTTGATAAGGCATTAACAAGACATGTAGAACACCTGGTCAAGAGGAAGAAGGAAGCTTACTTAAGGTTGAGGAAGCAAGGATGGGACAGGGCTCTAGAGGGTTAATAGGTAGCCAGGAAGGAACTGAAGAATGGACTTAGGAGAGCTAGAAGGGGGCATGAAAAAGCCTTAGCGGGTAGGATTAAGGAAACCCCCAAGGCGTTCTATACTTGAGGAACAAGAGCACAGCCAGAGTGAGGGCAGGGACGATCAGGGATGTCGGAGGGAACTTGTACCTGGAACCGGAGGACGTAGGAGACGTCCTTAATGAATACTTTGCTTCAGTATTCACTAGTGAGAGGGACCTTGATGTTTGTGAGGGCAGCGTGAAACAGGCTGATATGCTCGAACAGGTTGATGTTAGAAGGAGGATGTGCTAGAAATTTTGAAAAACATGAGAACATAAGAACATAAGAACTAGGAGCAGGAGTAGGCCGTCCGGCCCTTCGAGCCTGCTCTGCCATTCAATAAGATCATGGCTGATCTTTTTGTCGTCTCAGATACATTTACCCGCGTTCTCACCGTATCCCTTAATTCCTTTATTGTTCAAAAAAAATCTACCTTATTTTTAAAAATGTTTACTGAAGTAGCGTCAACTACTTCACTGAGCAAGGAATTCCATAGATTAACAACCCTCTGGGTGAAGAAGTTCCTTCTCAATTCAGTCCTAAATCTGCTCCCTCTAATCTTGAGGCTATGCCCTCTTGTCCTAGCTTCACCTGCCAGTGGAAACATCCTCCTACTTCTATCTTATCTATTCCCTTCATAATTTTATATGTTTCTATAAGATCCCCCCTCAATCTTCTGAATTCCAATGAATATAATCCCAATCTACTCAGTCTCTCCTCATAAGCCAACCCTCTCAACTCCGGAATCAACCTAGTGAACCTCTTTTGCACCCACTCCAGTGCCAGTACATCCTTTCTCAAGTAAGGAGACCAAAACTGCACACAGTACTCCAGGTGTGGCCTCACCAGCACCTTGTACAGCTGCAACATAACCTCTCTGCTTTTAATCTCAATCCCTTTAGCAATGAAGGACAAAATTCCATTTGCCTTCCTAATTACTTGTTGTACCTGCAGACCTACCTTCTGTGATTCATGCACAAGGACACCCAGGTCCCTCTGCATAGCAGCATGATGCAACTTTTTACCATTCAAGTAATAATCCTTTTTACTATTACTCCTACCAAAAATGTACGACTTCACATTTATTTACATTGTATTCCATCTGCCAGACCTTTGCCCACTCACTCAATGTATCTATGTTCCTCTGCAAAGTTTCACAGTCCTCTGCACACTTTGCTTTGCCACTCATCTTAGTGTCATCTGCAAACTTTGACACCCTACACGTGGTCCCCAACTCCAAATCATCTATATAAATTGTAAATAATTGCGGTCCCAACACCGATCCCTAAGGCACATCACTAGTCACTGACTGCCAGCTAGAATAGCACTCATTTATTCCCACTCTTTGCTTCCTGTTAGTCAACCAATCCTCTAATCATTCTAATACTTTACCCTTAACGCCATGCATCCTTATCTTATGCAGTAGCCTCTTGTGCGGCACCTTGTCGAAGGCTTTTTGGAAATTTAGGTAGACCACATCCACTGGGTCCCCATTGTCCACCTTGCTCGTAATGTCTTCATAGAATTCCAAAAGATTTGTCAAGCATGACCTGCCCTTCATGAATCCATGCTGTGTCTGCCCAACGGGACAATTTCTATCAAGATGCCTTGCTATTTCTTCCTTGGTAATAGACTCAAACATCTTCCCCACTACAGAGGTTAAGCTAACCGGTCTATAATACCCCATCTTTTGTCTACTTCCCTTTTTAAACAGTGGCATCACATTTGCCATTTTCCAATCTGCTGGGACTGCCCCAGAGTCCAGCGAATTTTGGAAAATTACCACCAGCGCACCTGCTATTTCTCCCGCCATCTCTTTTAGTACCCTGGGATGCATTCCATCAGGGCCAGGAGACTTATCAATCCTTAGCTCCATTAGCTTGCCCAACACTACCTCTTCCGTAATAATGATTGTTTCCAGGTCCTCACCCACCTTTGTCTTTTTGTCAATTACTGGCATGTTATTAGTGTCCTCCACTGTGAAGACCGATACAAAATACCTGTTCAATGCCTCGGCCATTTTATCATATCCCATAACTAAATTCCCCTTCTCATCCTCTAAAGGGCTAACATTTACTTTAGCCACTCTTTTTCGTTTTATATATTTATAGAAACTTTTGCTATCTGTCTTTATATTCTGTGCTAGTTTTTTCTCATGTTCTATCTTACTTTTCTTTATAGCTCTTTTTGTGGCTTTCTGTTGACCTTTAAAGTTTACCCAATCTTCTAGTTTCATGCTGTTTTTGGCCACTTTGTATGCCTTCTCTTTCAATTTGATAGCCTCCCTTATTTCTTTAGACACCCATGGCAGATTACCCCTTTTCATTAGAATATACTTTTGCTGAGCACTTTGAAAATTTGCTTTGAAAGTCCTCCACTGCTCGTCAACTGTCCCACCATAAAATCTTTGTTTCCAGTCTACTTTAGCCAAGTCCTCCCTCATTCTATTGTAGTTCCCCTTGTTCAAGCACAGGACCCTGGTATTGGATTTTATCTTCACACTCTCCAACTGTATTCTAAATTCAATCATACTGTGATCACTCCTGCCAAGATGATCCCTGACTATGAGGTCATTAATTATTCCTGTCTCATTACACAGGACCAGATCTAGGATAGCTTGCTCCCTCGTCGGTTCCATTACATACTATTCAAGAAAACTATCACGGATACACTCAACGAACTCCTCCTCAAGGCTACCCTGACCGAGCTGTTTCGACCAATCTATATGTGGATTAAAATCCCCCATGATAATTGCCGTACCATTTTTACAGGCATTAGTTATTTCTTTGTTTATTGCCCGCCCCAATGTGATGTTATTATTTGGTGGCCTATAGACTACGCCTATGTGACTTTTTCCTCTTAGAATTTCTAATTTCCACCCAAATGGATTCAACCTCATTCTCCATAGAACCTATATCATCTCTCAGCACCGCCCTGATGTCGTCCTTGAATATCAGAGCTACACCACCTCCCTTACCTTCCTGTCTGTCCTTCCGAATAGTCTGGTACCCTTGGATATTTAACTCCCAGTCGTGACCATCCTGTAACCATGTCTCCATAATGGCTACCAAATCATATTCATTCGCGATGATTTGTGCCGCTAACTCATCAACCTTGTTACGAATGCTACGAGCATTCAGGTAAAGTGCCTTTATGCTAACTTTCTTACCCTCATGATTTCCAACATCTCTAATAATATCTCCTGAGTTATCCTTCCTTTTTGCTTCTTTCATAGTCTGCCTTGAACTTAAACCCTCCTGCACACATGCTAACCTGAGGATAGATAAGTCCCCTGGGCCAGACAGGATATACCCAAGGTTGCTACGGGAAACGAGGGAAGAGATTGCCGTGCCTTAGGCGATGACCTTTGCGTGTTCACTGTCCACTGGAGTAGTACCAGATGATTACAGAGTGGCAAATGTTATTCCCTTGTTCAAGAAAGGGATTAGGGATAACCCTGGGAATTACAGACCAGACAGTCTTACTTCTATGGTGGGCAAGTTATTGGAGAGGATTCTGAGGGACAGTAGTTATGATTATTTGGAAAAGCTTAGTTTAGTTAGAGGTAGTCAGCATGACTTTGAGGGGGGCAGGTCATGCCTCATGAGCTTTATTGAATTCTTTGAGGATGTGACGAAACACATTGATGAAGCTTGAGCAGTGGATGTGCTGTTTATGGATTCTAGCAAGGCGTTTGATCAGGTTCCCCATGGTAGGCTCATTCAGAAAGTAACGAGGTATGGGATTCAGGGGAATTTGGCTGTCTGGATACAGAATTGGCTGTCCAATAGAAGACAGAGGGTAGTAGTAGATGGAAAGTATTCAGCCTGGAGCTCAGTGATGAGTGGTGTTCCGCAGGAATCTGTTCTGAGACCTCTGCTCTTTGTGATCTTTATAAATGACTTGGATTAGGAAGTGGAAGGGTGGGTTAGTAAGTTTGCCGATGACACAAAGGTTGGTGGATTTGTGGATAGTGTGGATGGCTGTTGTAGGTTGCAATGGGATATTGACCGGATGCAGAGCTGGGCAAAGAAGCGGCAGAAGGGATTTAACCCGGAAAAGTGTGAAGTGATTCATTTTGGAAGGTCAACTTTGAATGCAGAATACAGAGTTAATGGCAGGATTCGTGGCAGTGTGGAGGAATAGAGGGATCTTGGGGTCCACGTCCACAGATCCCTTGAAGTTGCCACCCAAGCTGATAGGGTTGTTAAGGCAGCGTTTGGTATGTTGGCTTTCATTGACAGGGGGATTGAGTTTAAGAGCCGCGAGGTCATGCTGCCACTCTATAAAACCCTGGTTAGACCACACGTGGAATATCGTGTTCAGTTCTGGTCGCATCATTATAGGAAGGATGTGTAAGCTTTGAGAGGGTGCAGAGGAGATTTACCAGGATGCTGCCTGGACTGGAGGGCAGGTCTTATGAGGAAAGGTTGAGGGAGCTAAGGCTTTTCTCATTGGAGCGAGGAAGGAGGAGAGGTGACTTGATAGAGGTATACAATATGATGACAAGCATAGATCAAGTAGATAGCCAAAGGCTTTTTCCCAGGGCGGAAATGGCTATCACAAGGGGGCATAATTTTAAGGTGATTGGAGGAAGGTATAGAGGAGATGTCAGAGTTAGGTTCTTTACACAGACAGTGGAATGCACTGCCAGCAGTGGTAGAAGAGTCAGATACATTAGGGACATATAAGCAGCTCTTGGATTGGCACATGGATGATAGTAAAATGAAGGGTATGCAGGTTAGTTTTGATTTTAGAGTAGGATAATAGGTCAGCACAACATCGTGGGCCGAAGGGCCTGTATTGTGCTATGCTGTTTTATGTTCTATGTAAGAAGTTGAAGAATTTATCTCCCCATTCAATGCATCTTTTGTCATGCTGGGACCAGGATCAACTATAGATTCTAAGATGCACCCTCAGACTGCATTCATTATCAATTCCCCCTGATCACAAGTTCCTCAGGAATCCTAAAATTCCAGACTTACTCACTTTGGTGTATGCTCAAAAGACTAAAAATCTATATATTAGAGCCATACTATCAGCATCCTCATAATTCATCTTCCCACAATGTAGCCAGGAATTCAATCTGTAGCCTGATCTACAACTGAGCATTTATTTCAACTGAGAGTAATTACAGTAAGGCATTAAAAAAAGACACAGCAACACTTCTGAAGATGAATAAATCATATTTTACATGTCCATAATAATCCTGTTCCCATAAAATACAGCATCCTTTGACTTAGTGTGGGATCTACAAGTAATATTATGCACGACACGGGCACACATGCAGATCTTGCATTTCGTTACAGTCATAAAATAACCTTAACATTGGAGAACTAAACTGATTCACAAAGTTCTGCACTAGACCTTAAACTATAAATGACTGTGGTTCTGTTTACTGAACATTTATACTTATGACCTTAAAAAGGGACCCAGGCTGACACTATCAGTAGTATTGTGTAATGTGCATCACATGGAATATCACTTCTACCCTTATCAAACAACATTCATCCAAATTCATAATAGCAACGTTTTGAAAGACCTGCTTTATGTATGAAAAACAGTCTTCATATGTTGAATTACAAAATTAAATATATTTAAAATGAAGATGTTATTACTCACCTGGTTACTCTGTGCAGAAGAAAAATAATCCGTTTGCTTTCAATAGTAATATCACGACTGAGTTTTACTAGCCTCTCATATTTATCATGCTTAGCATCTAGCTCCTTTTGGAAAGCTGATCAAAACAAAATGAGGAAACATTTAGTTTGTCTACGTTCATGGTTTTTGTTCGTCTGTCATTTTCAATGAAGGGTGCAGTATCATTATTACAGAATAATAGAAACTACAGCTTGTTTCATTTCAGCTAATATTGAAAAGCACTTCCTGAGAAATCCCCGAGACAGAGAATGAAACCAAAGGTAGCCTCCGTAGCACCGATTTATTTAAATCGTGAGAAACCAACGCTTCTTCCCTCTAAACCACAAAATTAAAAAACATTCCCACATCTGCAAAATGTTAGTGTAAAAACAGACACTTTAAGACAATACTAAAACATCCTACGGATGGAGATCTGAACAAAAGCAGCAAGTGCTGGAGAAACTCAGCAGGTTTGGCACTATCTGTGGAGGCACTCAGAGTTACTTTACCCATAGGTTGAAAGCAACCACTAAAGGAATGCTGCATATATGAAGAATATGCATATTAAGAATATATGTTTGAAACTCCAAATATAATACACAGATTTTAGGATAATTGATTATTATAATGTAATTGGGCCTACAATGACTTATCAGAAACCTACTGGTTTAGTATTCAATCAACGAACAGATGCATTTTCATGCAGCAGAATATATGGGGTCCTTGCACCCATTTCTACTGAAGGTATTGTTGCGAAGTTAGGTAGAGTACTTGCAGATTGGGAGACAGGAAGTTAGAACTGGCTATTTGTAAAATGCTAGGGGGTAAAGCATTACATGGTCCTTTTAAAAGATCATCTGCTTTTTCTATACTTCGAGATTTAAAATGGACATCTATGATCCCCAGCTTGAAAGTTTGCAAGTATACAGACAGCACCGGAATTAAAACATTTGTATCAAAAGGCCGTACAGTTAGCAGGCCAAGTAGCAGCTTTTACCAAGACAAACTTCTAAGTTTAGCCAATCAACCTGAACCAGGCACTTGGACACTAAAAACCAATTAAATTTAAATCTGATGGTTTTGACAACATAGGACCAATCCTATTGAAATAAATATTGATATGTCATCAAGAACGAGGCAATTAGACAAAACTCCAGAGCTAACTGCCATCCACCGGAGCTAACAGCTCTAAGCTCTCATAGCCTCCTCAAAGTCTTAGAGAAAGTACCATCTAAATAACAAAGGTACCCACAGCAAAACTAGTTAATATTCCTGACAGAAGAATCAATGGAGAAGGCAATGAACAGCCTGGAAGATGTTACCTGGCTGTAATTTCGAGAGACTAAATTCTACTTTTTTTATTTTATATAAGTGGGACATGTATCTATTGGAACAGCATACTATTAGTATCTTGTTTTATTTGGGAATAGTTAGTAGTTAGAAGGGGTTTATTTGGTTTGTTAATTGTTTAGTTAATTTGTTTACTGTTAGTGTTAAATAAATAAACTGTTACTTGTTTATTGTGAAGCAAGTGTCAGGGATTTAGCTTATTTAACCACAATTTGCTGAAAAGACAGGTTACGCCAATTTTCACACTCCTTTTTAAAAGATTACAGGGCAAGGTGCTCCTCTTTGGGCGTTTCAGCTTTAGTTCTCGGGGCGAGGGGGGGTCAGCCTCCGCTTTATAACAGTAGGGATTACAGTATATTGCAGGATGTCTCAGCAACAGATGTTGGGGGTGGGAGCGCATATAGGTTATCAAATGCACCACTGAAAGTCCAGAGGAGGAGTAACACTTTGCATTTGCAGGAAAATCAAATCCCACCTCACCTTCCAGTTGCAGACTCAACATGGCTTCATGTCCTCCTCTAATTCCTCATCCAGACCAAAGGAGACACCTAGCAAGTGCTAATGACAAACCATCCTTGTCTCCTGATGACCCAATCATGACATGGCACCATGGCGTTTAATCTTCTTTAGTGAATTCAGTATCTTGGTGAATTCTTGACAGTGTCTCAAAGTCTCAATTTGTATTCCAGATGTCCTTTTCACGGCTCCAGCAGCAATGACCCATGAAACAGTGAGTATCCTTTAAGTAATACTTTAAATTAACATCAGCCCCATGTTTACACATGAACTCCGTAGGAGAGCTAATTAGCTGAACTGCTTGCTACCAAAGTGCAGTGTAAGCTCTCTAATGAGCAAACATTCTTGCAAGGCAATCAGCTGTTTTACTATCCTTCAGGTAGCTGTTCCTAGCAATAGATTCAACTTCTGTACCAAGCATGGGGCCTTCCACTAAACACAAGCTAAGACCCCATCTTGATCACTTCTTTAGCATCTCAATTATTTGGCAAAAATCAGCTCCTTACAGTTTCTTCGAAGTTTCAACTAGTTCTTCGAACAGTTTTAAACTTTGAAGGTCATACACATGTACAAATATTGATCAAACAAATTTAGAAATTAGATAAGTATGTAAATATAAAATAGAGAAACATACACCATGATAAAATGTCTATGACATAATTGGTCAAACATGCTAAGTGGTTATACCTACATAAATCAAATGAAAAAAGGAAATAAAGTGCATCAGAAAATGTGGTGAAAAAATAAGTTGTAGGTACCTAGTGCTTGATCACTCCTTCAATCCAGAAATCCCAAAACAGTTCACTTGTGTTATGTGGGCAAATGCAGCAATCTATTTACATACAGAAAGAACTCCTAAGCAGTAAATGAATGAAAAGCCAATTAATGCATTTTGCACATTGTGTGGATGAGCTAGTTTTGTCATGATACCAGAACACTTTGTTTTTCTATGAATAGTACACAGAAGTCTTTATTATATAAAGAATGGCACCTCTAATAAACTACCTCAGAAATGAAAGGCAATCAAGATGACCTGTTCAGGTCCTGTGGCATTTCAACACACAAATTTCAGAATCAGAGGCAAGGATGTCATTAACTTTGTATCTGAATGATGCAAAGTATTTTCTAAACAATGAAATACCTTGAACTGTGATTACATAGGAAATGCAACAACCAGAGAAAGTGTAGAGAGAAGAAAAAGAGAAAAAAATTACAATGGGAGGAGGAGGAGAAGAAGAAAAATTGAAAAAAAAAGGACCAAAAAAATGGAAGGGAAGAAAGAAAAAAAAAGAGTCACGTACAAAGATATCGGCTTTGGTGAGAGAAGAAAGGCTGCGCACGTAGCAGAAAGACAATACTCACTTTATGTTGAGTATCTTTGGCTCTGCTGAGTAGGAGGGAAGTTGCTGTCAGCATACCCACATGATAAAATACTGATCCTCTGACTCATTTTCAGTAATGTCACAGACAATTTACTGTTTTGAAAATAATCAAAGCATATTCTCAAGCAAATCAATCATGAGTTTCATAACCATAGTGCTAGGAATGGGCCCAGCAGTTACAAAAAAACTGATATTCTGACATTCTAAAAATAATACAGCCTTCAACAGTTAAACCAAAGGCAAAATCTGTACAGAAGGATATAAAAGTAAAGATCACTTGTATTTCTATAGCAGATATGGGCAAGCGGACAAAGATGTAACAAGAATTAAAAAATAAAAAAAAACAGCTTGCATGTATACAGCTGCTTTCATGATATCTGAATAATAAAGTACTTTCTAAACAAGGAAATACCTTGAACTGTGATTATGTAGGAAATGCAACCAGAGAGAAAAAGTGTACAGAGAAGGGTACTGCTCTTTCATTACCATTTACATTCCATAATGACCAGACAATATATCTTTGTGATTTTGAGTAAGGGAAAATATTAGCCAGTTTACTATGGGATAATTCTTAACAATACTGCACAGGATCTTTCCTATCCAATTCGGGAGTTAAATTGGGCCTTAGTTAAAAGTTTATGAAAAATTGTACCTCTGATAACACAACACACCAGCAGTACCACTTACATAATAACCTAGATTTTTCCGCATAAAACTTGGAGTGGAACTTGAATCCAACATTCAGACATGGAGGCAAGAGTGTTATCTACCAAAGCTAACACCTAATCATCAAATATTCTGAAATAAGTTATTCCAATTACACAGTAACAGATTAACTTCCTTCTAGAAACAGCCAGAATTACTCATTCTGTTTGATCAATAATCATCTGTAAACAGGAGCAAATTACTGTAGGCGCTAGAATCTGTACCTGTACTGAAAACAACAAATGCTGGAGATCACAACAAGTCAGAGAGCATCCATGGAGAGACAGCAAGCTAACATTTCAAGTCTGGATGACTCTTCAGAGCTGAAGTGAAGTGTGGAGGGGGCAGCATTTATGCTATAGTTGGCGGGGGAGCAGGAAGGGAAGGGAAATTTGGTGGTGTAGAGTGCTGGTGGAGAAAAGATATTGACAGAATCATCCGTAAATGTTTGTTTAACACCGATGTTAAAAATCTCTAATGACACAGTTGAAGCAGGGTGCCCTAGCCCCACAACAGAAATAAAAACTGAATTATCGCTAACCAAATCCATTCATTAGCATTCTCATCATATGTAAATTTCCCTCTTGGGACATCCACAAGATCTAGTTAATGTTAGATTAAGACACCATAAAGCAAGTGCACTGTGTTAGTTTTATCAGCAACCGTAAGTATGCTACATAATCTAGATCACTTCTCACTTCATGTCAAATTTTGAGACATATTTTGCTTTAATTTACATTACACAAGTTGCGCTTACATTCAATGAAGCAGGTACTCCTCTACTCAAAGAATAAAACAAGAATTTTAAATTTAACTGGTCTCAATCATTGTACAAATTAATATTCCTACTCCGACAACACAAAGGAATTTTTGTACAAATTAGGACATACAATAAGGACAGGATTAGGCTCAATTATGATTGTAGAGCTTTCTGACACTATCAAGACTTCCAATTTAGTGCAATACAAGAGGATGGTTGGGCCTGCACAAACATCTCAAAAAAAGGTCTAAATCTTCAGGAGGGCAACAGAACCTCAACAGCAAATAGTGATGTGTTAGATTCATGATAAGTTTGAAATCTAATCAAAAATATTACATTCTTCAACCATTGCAATAGTTCATGTTTCATACTTCTTGTCACTCCAACTCGAATTCACATCTCTAAGTCAATTTCCAATTTGATTTCGATTTTGATCTTTTTTTTGGCTTCCTTTTGCCATTTTTAATCTATTTCTGTGTATGTTCCTATTATGTTAGTCACTTCTGGTATAGTAAGAATAGCTTCCGGATGCCTTAGACTGGCATGAGCTAAAATGGGATGAAAATCCAATGACAATAAAATACTTACACTTAAAGGCTAACAGCACTGGAGAGGATGGATTTACTTTGCTTTCCCTTTCCTCCTTTCGGTTACGAGGCTGCACGTTATCATGTTTTCGTTTTCGGAATCCACCTGAACTCAAAGGAAACTATCGTCTTTCAGAACAAACTCAAATTGTTCTAGTTCAACAGATAATTAACACTAAACAAATCAAGAAGTGTAATGTTCTAATCATGTAAGAAAGTAGGCTCTGTGTTTTCTGTCAACTTAAACATCAGATAACAATGCAAAATTATTGATTAATCTCATAGTTGGTTGAAACTTCAATACGCATTACCATCATTCATAACAGTAAAAGTTAATAAAGAATGCCCAACTGTTACAAGAATAGCTTTGCAATCCCCTTGATAACTGTAAAGTGTTTAGATTGGTGGTATATTAATAGTTTTACAATACTCTATTTGTAGAAGAATAATTGGTATAAGAATAGCTATCAAACATTGATGGAATAAAAGTCCTTTTAGTGTGCCTTTGAGTTTTAATACATGATTTGTACAAGTACGATCTTAGAAATCCTCGATCTGTATAATAGCTACATAACACCCTAGACTAGAAATGTCATTTTAGAACATCCTCAAGTGGTACAGTAAAAATAACAGAACCTCCCACAATACTGTAACTTAAAGGCATTAGAATGCCTTTGACTGGAAGAGTAACAGTTTTGATAAAACTTGAATGCTGACAAAATAAATTTTTAAAAATGATAAAGCAGCATCTGTATTTAAAAATATTTGATAATCTGTCATATAAAACTGACACAAACAGAAATTTCAGATTCTAAAAAAACTGACGACATGTTTGGTGTAGTTCCAAAGAAAAACCAAGAACTTTGTATTTGCATTTCCCTCAGATCCTTAGAATATCTCATGGTTCTTTATCAACAATGGGTTGGTTTCTAACTGCAATAATTGTTGTGTACAACACAAAGCAAATTAATGATCAGATATTCTGCCTGTAGTTGCTTTGAAAGCAGAATTTTGGCCAGGACACCAGCCTAACATCTTGCTTGTCTTCAAAACAAGCATTAAATCTTTCACTTGTGACTGCTTATGCAAATAGCGTTATTTTAAATGTATCAATTGAATAATGGCATCTCAAGCAGTGGCTCTTCCCTCAGAATGCATTTTGTGCTCAAGTCTCTTGTACATCTTAATCCCACAACACTCGAATCAACCAAGCAAGCTGACATCAGAAGATACTAGAAACCATCTGTTCATATGGAAGGCCTTTATCTTTAAGCCTAACAATCATGTGTCCCTGCCAATATTCTCTCAATACACTGTCCAGTAAGGGTCAATGATATGTAAAGATCAGGACTGGGAACTGAAAGCCCAGGAACACAAAGCATTACTCTCAACTCACAGATCAGCCAACTCACAATATGAATATTCAACCTCAGTCCATGGGAAAAATTAAACTGTAATCTATGGAAGGTCTTCTGAAGACAATATTTTTATTGAGATCTTCTGTCAGTATTTTGTGCAACTTCAACAAAACAAAAAGCTACTAAACATTGCCCAGATGGCAACTCCTGGTCCAATGGAAAGAAAACTACGGAAAGTTAACAGGTCTTGGTGTCACATTCAAATTTGGCATCAATACTGCAAAATTCTTTGTTGATTATGCAATAATCATTCTCACACACCAACTCCTAGACTGGAGTAGTGGTGGGGGAGAGGGGCTGTACCTGTCAAATAACATTTTAAAATGTTATGACACACTTAATCAGACAATCATATAGAAAAGTGTGACATGCTGTACAGAAGAATGGACGCATGCCATTAGGGAATAAAAATAATACAGGGAATAGACTGAGCAACAAGTAGTGTGAGCCAGGGAAAACAGACTGGCACACAATTGCTA